GCCTACCCAAGAAGATGTGGATAAAGCTTTATATACATATAATTTTCTCTGTCTAGATAGAGACACGGGCCTATCCCCTAGCATGCTACAGCTAATAACACCACCCACTTGTAATTCATCTGGCCCCTTAAAAACAGCACTACATGCACCATCCCTTAACCAGAAAGTCCTCTGGAAGGACGATGAAGGAAACTGGCAAGGCCCATCTGTAGTGTTGTGGAGAGGGCCGGGGTATTTATGTCTTACAGATTCTGATGGCCAGAGCCGCTGGGTACCAGAAAGAAGAACAAAACGAGTTGAAGAAGCCCCGGGAGAGACAACAAGGATGGGAGAAGAAACACAGTCAACAGAAAATTCAGAGAGAGCAGAAAGAAAAGACAGTTAGGATATCTAAACTGAGTAAAACTGTTTTCATTTTGCGCGATCAGGACTTTGCCACAGGTTGCACCAGCTCCAGTGCCCTGGGACACGAGAGAATGGCTGGGGGCACTTGGCGTTGACAGCATCCATCTTCAAGGAGTTCCAGATACAGGACTTATATAGTGGACAGCAATTGCTTGCCTCAAAAATAGAGGAACTGGCCGATAAATTCGCCCAAGCCCTCCAAGTGCAGGCTGATATTGATCAGCGGCTGGAGGAGCAGATTGAAAAAGTAGCATTGGCTACTCAGGACATTGGGAATGAACTTATGTGGCTGGAATTGAGACAGCAGTTGCCATGCGATGGCTGATATTGATCCATTTGTGTAACACCCTTATACCATAACGCCACTTGCGACACCGTTTCACAAAGTATATGACACTCTCCTTTCTTTTCTATTTGATGTAATGTTACCTGTGCCTTTTCCCAGATCTAGGCTACAAATCTTTCCTCTGTACTCCAGGCTTTGCGGGTGTTAATTAGACTGGCACGGTACATATCTGACACTTGGCACCAACATGAGACTGATGATATTGTTCATCACCTTAGTGATTGGATTAAGCATACGTCTTTCCCCATCCCCTCCTTTGTAACCCATTGGGCATTTATAACTCTTTTTGCATTTATACTGTTATTGTTACTACCCACTATTTTAGGAGGTTTTCTTAGGATTTTTAGAGGTTTTGTAGAGGCACTCAGTACCGAAGGCCTAGTATGGAGACCCCGTCTCCACCTCTCTATTAAACAAAAAGGGGGAATTGTGAGGGACTGTCTGATGTTGGCAGCTACCAGGTTGGGTGCTGTGGCAAGGGTAGGGTAAGATCTGGGTATTTTGGAAGTCGAGGCAGGGGCTGTGGTAGGCAGAGTGTGTACTGGGATGGGCTGGATACGCAGAAGCCCTGAGGCAATGGACAGTGCTTTGTGAGATAAGCTGGGTACAAGGAAGTAGTCGGAGCTTGAGCTCCTGAGGCAAGGGGCGGCGCCACATGGGAGTGGGATGGCAGAGGACTGAGTTCCCTCTGCTTAGTCCCCTCCCTATATGCAACGTCATCCCCAGATGCCTCTTGTGACCTTCCTGACTTCCTGGGTCCCTTTGTGCAGCACTGACCCAGACCCCTCCTGAGTCTGACTTCCTAGGTCACTTACTCTTGTCTATGTGCCATTCCCAGATGCTTCCTTCCTATATCCGGTCCTGGCCTCCTACGTCACTCCCTCCCCCTTGGTGTGCTAAACTCAGACAGCCCCTTCCGGTATCTGACCCTACAATCATTGGCTAGTAAGCGGGCTGGGGAGGAGGGGCTAAGTAGGTTTTTAGGAACAAGCGTGGTCAGATCACACACGTGCTCTCCCCTGGCTCCTGCCCTGTTGCTCTGGCCTTGCTGCTTGGGCTTGCTATGATGGCTTGCTGTGTTGGCCTCTGAATAAAGCTGTGGTGTTGGCGCCTCCCGATGGCTCGTCTCTGTGTGGTGATCTGGCTGAGGACCGAAGACCCGGGTGTGGGTAAGACTCTGGTAGTGTACTCCTTATAGAAGGAGTGGGTACTGGTGCACAGCTGGCAGAAGGTCGGCGTGCGGCCAGTATACTCCACTATTCCAGCATCTGTTCTGGGACACTAATTTATGGGTGTTTGGGGATGAGAATGGGAGAGAGACAGTGATCTACTGCTTACTCTGCCATCTTGACTCCTGGAAGTCTCTCCTTACAACTTAAATTTCTTTGTAATTTTTCCAAGGCCAGTGACAATTTTCTTCTTTATGTCCCTAGCAACTGGCACATAATAGTTTAAATTATTTTAAATTTATTTAATAATAATAATGGCTAACATTTATTATATAGTGCTTCACGGTTTGCAAAGCATCTTCCATTACGACATGCATTTGATCCAAAATGACCCTGCAGCAGGCACATGCTATTATTATTCCCATTTTATAGATGAAGCATCTGAGCCTGAGAGAAGTTCCATTTGTGATGGAAAGGACAAAGCTTAAAATAAAAATAATGCATTTGTGTAGGGCTGTGTGGTTTCAGAGTGTTTTTCATACACTTTGAGCCTGATGCCTCATTGAGGTGGGCAGTGGAAATATTGGCCTTACCATTTTGTAGACTTGAAAACCTCATTAATGGTAGGGCCTAAACTGAAACCCAGATCTTGAGACTCTGTATCCAATGCTGTGTCTATGCAGCACACTTTTTCTTATGTATGGCTCTATGAATTTATAATAAAGAGCCTTACATTCCAGTCTTTAAGTTGAGGCAGTTAGGTGGCACAGAGGAGAAAGCACTGGGCCCAGAGGCAGGCAGATCTGAGTTCAGATCCTACCTTAGACACTCTTCATATGGCTCTGGGTATGTGATTTAGCCAGCCTCTCTCCATGACCCTGTGTAACTCACTTAACCTCCCTAAACTTCAGTTTTTTAATCTGTAAAATGGATCTAGTAATACCTGCACTTTACCGACCTCACTCACCAGGCTATAATAATGAAGATACTTTGTAAACTTTAAATCGCTATATAACATGTGAGGTGTTATCAGTCTATCAACAAGTGTCTTTAAGTGCCTATATACCAGGCAGCATACTAAGTGCTGGGTATAGAGACAAAAATGAAAGTTTCTGCCATCCAGGAGCTAACATTGCATGGGACTATTCACTTAGAAAGTTACTATCACAGCAGAGACTAGAAGCAGGCCTCTCAACTCCCTCCCAGGGTGAAAAGAGACATTAATGTTGAAGGTCCTTAAACAGCCACAAACAGACTGCCTCATGTACACCCAGCAAGGCTTTGTGCATATGTGTGCAGTGTTCATGGCAGGGGTAAATTTGCTCCCAAGTCGAGGAGGTCACACTTCTCTTCTGCCTAGTGAGTTGCTTGCTTGTGTCAAATCATCCTGATAGAACAGCTAGAGAAAAATCTGTCCTGGCAGCCACTGCAGGTTTGTATTGGTCCCTGGCAGAAGGCCCTATTCCAGGTGGGGGGATTAAAGGGTGCTGAGAGGGCAGCCACATTGTTCTGTAGTATCTATTACCCGTTGATAAATAGAACCAGGATTAGATTTAGGCCCCAAAAGAGTGCTTAGATGAATCCACAAGCCTCAAATGACGATTTGTGTATTTGGGACTGGGGGAAAAAAAAGGATGAGGGAGAAAGGAAATGAAAATTGCTTAGTTACATGCTTGCCAAGATCTGAAATGTAGTAATTTACTTTTAAAATGTGTTTTGAAATACCACCAAAACCTCTTATTATATTGGCTATCTATTGGAATGATTTAAGTAGTTTTACATTGTTATTTCATGTAAAAGTTGATATCTTAGCTATGACAATTTTTTATCAAAAGACTTGCACAGTGATTTGATTGCATAATGTGGAATTTTGCTTTGGAGAAATTCTACCAGATGCACCAATTTTGACTTTCCTATTTATACCTTTTCTCTGTCGTATGAAAATGTTATTCTGAAAAGCCTTTATTCTTCTTATGAATGATTTTTTATACAACATTCCTTTATTTCTTGCTCAAAACATCATACTTTTTTGAATAAAAAAGGAGGTGTTTAAACAAGTTTCATCTATGTACAGGACCAAATTCACAGAGGAAAAACTGGCAGCTGTCCCAGTGGTCATTTTTCTATAGTTAGGAGGGAGCTGAGAGAAAACTCACATGACTGCAGCCTCTTTACCCATGACTTTTTCTATGTCCTCCTACCCAAATTTGTCTCACCTGTACTGGTCACAGACAAGTTACAGGGCAGAAATGTTTATATGTCTCATCAGGATCAAAGACAATTTATTTTCCTTTGTGAAATGCAAAGATACTTCCCTACCAGTAGATTAAAGAGGAATTGGATTATGGAAATAGCTTTTGTTGCTAAGAAACACAACCAGATAGCATAAAGATCACGGGTTCATAGATTTCAATCTAAAAAGGACTCTGTAGTCCAACTGCCCATTTTATAGATGAGGAACTGAAGCCAGGAGAAGTGACTTGCCCAGGGTCACCATCTGAGGCAGGATTTGAACACAGGTCTTACTCGAATATTGTCATACATTTCCAGGACCTTTATTGAGGTCCTAGAAAAAATTCAGGCAGCAGCTAGGTGGCACAGTGGATAGAGCACCGGCTCTGAAGTCAGGAGGTCCTGAGTTCAAATCCAGCCTTAGACCAAACACTTAACACTTACTAGCTGTGTGACCCTGGGCAAGTCACTTAACCCCAATTGCCTTTAAAAAAAAATTCAGTATTGATCTCTCTCTCACCAACCCCCATCAATAAAAAAGATCTGAAGCCTGTTTTATTTACTAGGGGAGAGGGAATGAAACAACTCCCAAAGTTCATTTCATATCACAACAGCCTAAAATATCCACTGTTATGCAGCTTCTTCCAGGTTTGAAAAAAACTCAAAAAATTCAGGCCATTGAGGCACAGGGAAGCCAAAGTAGCCTCCTGCACATGCAGTGAGTTGGCCAAGTAGCCCTCTGCCATGCACACCTAACTAACCATTTGATCAGTGATTTTATCTATATTGTATTTGTCCTTTGTTGTATTCAGCTTCATTGATGACACTTTGATTCTCTGCTCCTTCAGCTGGTACCTCCTTTTAAACCTCAAGTAACGTCTGAGACGGACACCAGATATTTTGATGAAGAATTTACAGCTCAGACAATTACAATAACACCGCCTGAAAAATGTAAGTAAATAGTAAGTGATCCATAAGGACGTAACTATGATTGGGAAATAGAGCATGTTTTGAGTTTAGCAGCAGGGCGAGCCTATTCTTCTTAAGAGTGGTCTTCCAGTGAAAGTGATGAATAAGACAAGACAAGTTTAAAAATTTTAATTTTGAGAGAGAAAGAGTAGGTCTAGCTGGGTGTAAGACTTCTCCTAGTATGGAAGATTATAGCCTAAAATGTATCTGTCACCAATGACCTCTTTACTCCCTGACCCTTTCTGACTTGCTGCTGCTACACAGTGCAGACCTATGACCGGCAGTGTGAAAATGTTGTAAGCCATTGCGGTGCTTCAGGTGTCTTAGATGAATTTACTCCAAGTCTGCTCTGAGGAATCTGGAAGAGAAGTCTACCCTAAGTAAGTGCACTCTAGTGGAAGAAAGAATGATCAGAACCATCATCTGCTGCCAGTGCCTGCTTCTCAGTGGTCTGTGTGTATCACCATTAGTCCACAAGTGAAGGTCAAATTTTGATTTGAGGAAACTCCGAGGGAGACAAAAGATTACTCTAAGAGTAAGACAATTTTTCACACACATTAGTCATGTCACACTATTTAAAAAAATATCTTTGCCCAGACTGTTGCTATGTACTGAGCATCTATGGAAGGGAAACCCATAAGTGGAACACCATCTCACCCACTTAGAGAATTGCAGAAATCCAGAGATGGAAAGCACCCCAGAAAATCAAGTCGTTCAAGCTCCTCCTTTTGTAGATAAGGAAACTGGATCTCCAAGGGACACCATGATTTTGCTCAGAGTCACACCGCTGCTCAGTGTCAGAACTAGAACCTCAGTTTCCAGATTCTCAAGACCAGTGAACTTTCCACTATACAATAGCTGCCTCCCATACACCTAGGAAATATGAGCCAAAGGATGAAGGGATGTCATCTAAGGGGACAGGTAGAGCAGTGAGTTATGCCCTGCTGTTGTCTTACAGGTGTGTCTGAGGTATTGGAAAGGAATGAGGAGTTCTGGGAAGGGGCTAGAGGCCTCTGTACATGTATTGCTGAGACAAGCCTTGGAAGGCTGGGAATAGGGGCTGAGAGTACCCAGGGTCTTTCAGGCTCGTGTAAGAATCTCCCACAGCCCTGCTTGTTGTGGCCTAAGCTGGTGCAGCTTTCCAACCATAACCACAGTAACAACAGTTAGCATTTACACAGTACTTAAAGGTTTTCAATGTGCTGTACATTTATTATTTTCACAGTAGCTCTGGAAGGTAGGTACTCCTGTTATGTCCATTTTATTGATGAAGAAACTGAGAGAGGTTAAGGGACTTACCCAGGGTCTCAGAATTTGAGACAGAATTTGAAACCAGGTTTTCCTGACTCCAAGTCCCATACTCTTACACACTGTGCTACCTAGCTGCCATAGTGTTTAGAGTTGGAAGGAACCTAAGAGATTTTGCCATTTCTGCTCATTTTAGAGATGATGAAACTAGGTACCAGAGGGGTTAAGTTATTTGCCAAGTTTATAATGGTACTAAGTAGGAGAGCCAAAATTCTCTCTCAGTTTCTCTAACTTCATATTCAGTGCTCTGAGATGAGAAGGCATTTTTCAGTCATCTCTAGAACACAATTTGAACTTATACATTTGTGTTTCAGAAGTCTTGATTATTAACATAAATTATAAGCTCAGAAATTTCAAAATCTTTAAAGAATATTGGTTAGGATCTGAGAGAGATAGGTTATAGGTTAGAAAGCTACATAAAGCCCCAGTATTATAATTCCTAGATAGAACTCTCAGCATCTACACAAAACTGTAAGCCTATAAAAAGTATAAGGCTGACCCTGGCCAGAAGTGTGATATGGGCATCACCACGTGCCCCAGATTTCTGATCTAGCATCATTACTGTCACATGAAGCTCAGGGATGGTCCAAAGAGACCACACAAAAATACCTTAAATGGGAATTGTCCCCATCTCATCTAATTGATAAACTTGGAAGGGCAATTGGCTTGATGGGGTGATTTTCCTACCAAGGAGATCTGTGGAGGAGATTAGATAGATTAGGTTCAGTAATGTGTTGTATCAGTCTGAGTTAAGGAAGAGATGATTGCCTCTCTGGTTGTGTCCTTTGTTTAGCAAAGAGGGAGATGTTCAGTCTGCCCAGGTAGTGCTCCTGCTGGCCATCTGGCTCAGATAGCAGTGCTGCTCTTGGCATCAGCTGTCAGAGTATTTCTTGGTTCTCTGTTGTGGGTAATAGACTCATTGCTTGTTAACTGCAGCCCCTGCATTGTGAATTGCCTTTCCATTGCCTCCAATGCATGTGCTGTGGTCGATGGGCACGTGTACTAAAGGATGTTGTATTTCCAATCATTGGCTTTATCTTAGGCTCTCTCAAAGGACAGCTCAAGGAAATTCAGAGAAACATTGAACTGTGATTACATGTAACATAATCTTTACTCTGTGCAGCTTTCAATAACAGAGCTGGTTAGAAAGCCAGGGCAAATCTTCTGACTGTGTAGAGACAAGCACAGAGGCTTTGTTCATAAAAGTCCACAGCAGTTCTACTAGTTAGCGTTTGTCTTCCCACTCACTGCCTCACCCTGAAAAAGCAGAATGTAGTTATTTTTTAGTACAGACCAGCAGTTGGAGAGGCAAAATGTTCCAGCTACGACAAACAGCTGCAACAGCATGCCAGATTGTCCTTACTGGTGTTAATTAAGCGAACAGATTTTGGAAGGCATAGTCTTGTGTTGTTGGAGCCATTGATGGCCCGCCACCTTTACTGTACAGAGAGAGGATTTCTTTGAGATCTAGAGGCTTTTATTGCCATGTAATTCAGTTTGTCAAATTCATTAAGCAAATCAGGTAGAGAATTTTACATGTGTCCAGAGAATGAAGGGGAGCAGTTAACATTTTTACATTCATTAGGTGTTTTGCCTAAAGGTCATCATTGGCCTTATCTTTATCTATTATTCTTTGTCTACCAAGCCCAACTGGATCCCTCTGAATTTTAAGAACAGTCATATCTGTGTGTGTATATACATATGCACTTTATTTACACATGTACATAGCTCTTCATGATGCTGCATACATCATTACAACATTCCAGACTTGGGGATACAGCTACAGTTGTCATTTTAGTTCCATATAGTCTCCGTTTCAACATTAGTGCAGTAATTAATGTCTTGCTAAGGCAGAAGGACCTTTCCCTTTCTCCAGCTCCTCTTGAGGGTTCCATGGGTTCCTCAGTTTTTTTGTTCTTGCATTATCCTTTACTGCAGGGATTCCCAATGGAAGGTGAGCATAGGGATAAAGTCCTAAGGAATCATAGCCATGTGACATCAGTAGGAAGCGTGGTGTCCCAGTAGGTGAAGATGCTACAGATTATGTAGCATGTGTATTTTCTTAATCACAAAAATATTTCTATGATGACAGAAAAGTTGCTTTCTTTTAACTCACAAGTAACGTAGAGCCTTGTTGGCAGTAATTTGAATTTTGCTTGGCAGTAGCAGCAGAAGAAGCTAGATGAATCTTACACACTAAACCCAGGACTCCTCCTGTCTCCTCATTGGAGTGATGGTCCATGGTGGGACTAAGGTTGCTTGCTTTGGAGCCCTAGTGAGATGCTGTTTTGTTTGTGCTTCCCATTGGCTACAAGAGTTCAAACAGTACCAGGCTTTCTACATGTTGAATGTACTTGAAGTTTCTCAGCAAAACAAAGCTGTTCATGTGGGAAAACTTTTTTTTAAAGTATGATTGGCTCATGTCATAAAGAAAACGTGGGGATATCAGCCTCTGTGTCTTTGTAGAATGAGGAATTTTATACAATATGTCTCAACAAATATTACTCCCCATCTCTTATGAGAAAAACAAGGAGAGTTCATCTGATGAGAAAGTAAGGGTCCTCCAACTAAAATAATCCATGAAAAATCCAGATTTAAAAAGTGGATTATTTCCAGAAAGCAGATAGGTATTAATGATATAGCCATTAGGTATAGGGAAATTGAGGCCTGCCTGGGTAGTGCTAAGAAATGTAGCCAAGACTCGGAGTATTCTCGAGCAAACTCATAGTGTTTTATTGGCCTCTCAGACTACTACATGCTTCCGAGGGCCTTGTATCCCAAACCATCAGGAATGGATTCTCATTCTTTGTGATTTCTCACCTACCACCATTACTGCCAACACTGTACCCATTTAGCCTATAATATACTGTTGTGTGAGCTCAGTTCTGAATGTTTCCTTATCATTCTTCCTTGGCCTTGACATTTACTGTTAGGTAATAGCCATGATATGGAGGCAGTCCAAGTTTATGCAGAGCTTCTCTGATGAAAAGCTCATTCCGTCTAAGAGAGAAACTGAGACAGAGAGGGACAGAAAGAATGAGTGAATGTGCCTGAATGGCAGGAAGAGATGGGCATCACTAGGCACCCAACAAATGTTTGTTAATTTCTTAACTACCACTTGATAGCTATAGCTATTCTTTGGGATGCATTGTAGACATCCAACTGTACATGGTGTAACAGCTCTTAGGATATTCTGGATTGAGAATAAAAAAGAGGAAAGAGCAAACTTGAGACTCTGTAAAAAACAGAACCTTTTATTTCCTATGTCATAAATGAATACAAAGCATTCTTTTTTTATATAACAAAGCTATTAAATTCCATGTTTGTAGAACATGGTGCAAGTACATTGTAACTAAGTACCATAATGGTCTAAAGGGTGACTCTTACTCTGTTTCTCCTGATATTTGTTAGAAAGTCACTTAAATGGCCAGGGCTGGACAGGGTGGGGGAATGAAGTGGCCCTTAAATGAACTGGGTCTATTCAAAGAATTGGGACTATTTCACTTGATTAAAAGGGTAAGTATATGAAACACTATAAATAGATAATCATGGCTAATTCTGCCAGTTATACAGTAGAAAGAATAAGATGAAATGTGCTTTAAGTATAGAGGTAAGATTTAAGTTAGGAACTTTTTTGTTAGGAAGAGGCATGAATCACCATATAGTTAGGGAGAAAGGTAGTGAGATGGCATTTCATGAACATTTTTTAAAAATCAAAATAATAATAATTATTTCTGGTAATAATAAGTTGTTGTTAATGGAAATAACAGAAATACTGAATATAAAGAAAGGACATTTTAAATGGAAACACTACCTTTTAGTTATTTTGCAGATTATCAATACATTTCTCCCTTCCTGCTACAGTTTACTTAGTATCTATTCTTGTGTCATGAATAATATTTAATCTTTAATCTTTATTGTGTGTTAATGTAGAACATCATGTTAAGATGCTATTCGGTTTAAGGCTCCAAGTTTATAAAATAAGGTAGTCCTTAAAATAAATACAGTTATAATTTAATAGTGAGCACAAGTATATGTAAGCCATGTTGGTTGAAACTTAATCCCTCTTTTGTGAGAATCTGGGAAAATATAATCCTTGAGGTAAAGAGAGTTTAGTTAAAAAAAATTAATGTGAAGTTCAAAGTGTTGTTTCATCCCCACAGATGATGAGGATGGTATGGACTGCATGGACAATGAGAGACGGCCACATTTCCCACAGTTTTCCTACTCTGCAAGTGGACGAGAATAATCCTCTTGAGTTCTGCTGCATCACTGTCATCCTAGGTTTATTATAAAAAATGATTCCTGGGCATCACCACCAGTACTAGCTATTCGCCAAGATAGCAGGAGCACTTTCAGACGTCGTCCCAAATTGAACGAGATCCTTCATCCCTCTCCCCACTTTTCTCTTCACCCCTGCCCTACCCTTATGCCCCCTCCATCCCTCTCTTACAAACATTCTCACAGGCACGCACACACACAAAGAGACACAAACACACTTGCCTTTTTGTTTTTGCATGAAATTTTATCTCAGTCTAAGGTCTCATGCTATTGCTGCTACCGTCTCACTATTATAGCAACTTTAAGAAGTAATTTTACAATCTTTGGAAGTCATGAGTCCTCCGTTGTACATTTGTGCACCAATTGTCATCTTTTGTTTTTCCCTCACCTCAGAGGTTAAAAAAGAGATAAATTGGTTATAGATGCATTTCTTAACTTTCTAGAAGGTGAATCAGAATATTAATTAGACTAAGAAGACTTAGTTCCTAACGTTTTCTTGCATCTGTTTGTGCTGGTCCAAATAAGCAATTTGGAGAGGGTGGTGATGTGCTTATGCAAAGCTTGGGTTAGGGCATATAAGTACTTGAAGCAGGTATATGTCATTAACATCTGGCTGGAATTCATTTGGAAAGCATTTGAGCAAAGGACTTAACTGTTGATATATATACATATATGCATATATATGTATATGTATATATATATATACACACACACACATACACACACACATATGTGTTTATATAAATTCCTGTTGGCTACTACCGAAGAAGTAGAGGGGCTCGAGTTGCCCAGTGTCACACTTAGACTTCCAGATTTCATGTGCAATCATGGACAAGTGAGCGTCACACAGCCAAGAAATGAAGGCGGCATAAACTCAGCATTGTTCAAGTCGCTTGAAGGGTCTAATGAAATGATTTGCACCAGAGAGCATTTTTCCATGTGCTTGATATTTTAAATTTTTTTTCCTTCTTGATGTACATCACTCCTGATGGCTAAAGAATGTAGACAGGCGTAGGGATCCTGCTCTTCACCAAAACTTGTGCACCAAGAGAAACAGGTGTTTGCCTTCCATGTTTTCACTTTTACTTTGTTTTATGTTAATTATCTTTTCACAAATGTTAAGATCTTTGAATGTCCTTTGGGGTTGGTTTTGTTTATATTGCAGTAGTATTTATTTTTTAGTGATGAAGATTGCGTGTGTCCTCCTAGCAGATACAGCTACAACTTACATAGATTAGGCTTACAGCAGTTTAGTTTGTCCTACATGCAAAGGAATGTACAAGCTGATGAGAATCATGCACTTTTTTCTCCTATGTGGACATTTTGACAAGGCTCTGAAATTGTATACGCTGCATAGAAATTGGCTTCAGGGGAAGAGATACTGTCATTTAACCCTTGGTGCTGTAAATGGAGAGAGCCCAAATACCAGTGCCAGGGAGTTAACAAAACAAACGAATGTTTTTGCTCCTTTGAGAATTAATGTATTATGAAAACCAGGCAGCAGAATAGAAACGATGGTCTGTTTTGGGTGAAGGAAATGCTTTCAAGTGGTTTGACACCAGAATGAGGATGAGAAAAGCACTTTACTTGGCACACTGAACATGAAGAGGACTGATTGAAGAAACCACCGCTAACATGTACCAAGTAGGAAAGAAAGGGTAAGAAAACCCAGCATGACTGGGCAGATCATGGTACATTAATCACTGAATTGTCATCAGGGAAAAAAAAAAGAACACCTCCAAGTTTTCTTTTTCTGTATATACTCATGTCCCCAAACCCCAACATTTCTTACTGAATGGGGCATGTATGCAAACCTCATCTTTCTCCTTTATTAATGATCTTCAGATTTAAACCCTCTGGTGCTAGGAGCTGAAGTTTTCCATAGCAGCCTGTAAGGTCTATGGGGCCAGAAAGCTGCTCTTATTACTAGTAGAAGGAAATCCTTGCTCCATAGGATTATCATTGAAGTATTCTGGTTTCACTATCTTAGCAGCTCCCACAGTGACAAATGGCAGCATTATGTAGTACTATGATTGTGTTGTATGAAAGAGCAAGTGACTTTTAGATAGGAAAAATAATATTCATATGCAGATGTCTTAGCTGCTTGATGCTGAAAGTGTGGATTTAATGTGAGACCACTGCTGGCAGTGGCTACACTGGGGCTGACAAAAGGGATAAAGGGCATTTTATTAAGGCAGCTAAGACACATTCAGATATAGACTTTATTCTAATTTTTCATATTTCTGAGTGAAGTTCATATTTAATATTAAGTGGGCAATTAAAGTAAGAGATATCTCACTTTTGCTTATACTTACGGATTTCATCTTTTTACTTGGTAATGTATTGAGTTTTCATCTTTGGAAAAGAAAGTAGGAATAGTGAGCACATCCCATAAGTTGTTTTGCACTCATTACATAAGAAAGTATCAGATGAGCCGAAGACATGAGAGACGGGGACTGGCCGACTGACCATTGTGAGCATTTGCTCCTTTGAAATGCCCTCTGTGGACCAACAGAAAGCCTATCACCCATATGCAAGGCACATCCATTAGGTTTTTTGTTTTGTTTTGTTTTTTTGTTTTTAAAATCTTGAGATAAGTGTTCTTTGTGACCTTGGCACTGGACACTTCCTAAAGATTAATGACTGACTCTGACTGAACCCCAGGCCATCAGCTTCTCCCAGCTGGCTTTTAATCTCCAGCAAATGGCCTGTGGTTCTCTCCCTATGCTTAGCTACTCTGCTTTTGTAATAGCATAATAAAGTTTGCATTTTAGTTTGGTAAAATATTGGAAAGCTATTTCAGGTTGAATTTGAAAAAGGATAAACTGTGTCCCACATTGCTTTCAAGAAAACTGATGACTTATTCAGGACAAACAGAACATCACTTGGTTTAGAGTTTGGGAATCTCTGATTTTGTGCCCCAAATCTTCATTCAGCTGGGAAAAGGGATGAAAATAAAAACAAAATTGCATTGTTGAAAAAAGAGATTGGGGGAACTTGTATTTGCTCACAACTGTAGTTTTAGAATTCTGGCAGGTGAAAAGGCCTTGGGACCTGGAACCCTTCAGTCAGTCATTGGACATTTCAGATGTGGTTGACTCCAGCTTGTACTGACTGTCACTAAGTGTGCCCTCTTGTACCACAGACATCTTGGAGGAAGTCGGCTCTTTCTGTTTGGACTGGAGGCATATTTGCACACAGCTTTGCGTTCTACACTAACTGCATCTTCCAACACATTCCTGTTGCTTAAAGAACATTATTCCAGTATTGTTTTCCATTTCCCACCCCTGATTTCTAGCTTCTTAAAGCTGACTCTTCTTGCAGGGGCCATTGTGCTTCTCCTAGAGTACACAAGTAAGGTCCTTCCTTACTAACTGCAGGGTCTATCTATTACACCTCAATGTACACACTTTGCTGCTACTGTTTGTACTGTCTACAGTAGAATTTCCTTATCTTGCTCCTGGTAGTGCATTACAGGCAAGCATGAATTGTAAAGTATTTATTTAAATAAATAAATAAACAACCATAAATGACACCTCTAAATTGGTAATTCAATTACCTCCCTGTAGCTTTAGAGTTTGTGACATTTCTTGACCTTGCTAGTTCTTTCATTGGATCCGTGCAAGATCTAGTCATCTGGTTAAGGATTTTAAGCAGACGTGACTATGAACCCAAGGAACTGTATTACTCTCACTGTCGGTCATACTTAAACTGTTTATTTCCTTAAGTATATGACCCACAAGGATGTGAAATAACTACAAGAAACTGTTTTTGTACACTGTACATCCTTAGTATTTTTACACGTATATGATAGGGATGCACATTATTTTCCTTCGTACAGACAGCTTAAATAAAGCACTATGTCAATATGCTACTTCTCTGTTTATTATTGTTGGCTGTGGTCCTGGCTTTCTGAAAGGTGAAGGTGGATATTTTTCTGCAAAAAGAACATTTTTTATAGTTATATAGTATTAACCACTGAAGATTAGGCTCCTCTGTAATAGAAATGTGATGGGATGACATGAAATCCATATGTAAATTAAAACAAACAACAAATGATTATTTTATTTCATTGAAGCGAGTGTATCATTTTACTTTGCATTTCAGTGTGGCTTGGGCACAGAAAAGATAAACAACTCTAGAAGGGAAGACCATATTCTTTCTATAGTGACCATGTAGCTCCGTCTAGAGACTGAGGTGCAGAGGTGTTCTCGTTCAGGAACCCATCCAGTTCCATGATTACCAAAATTTTAGTCTCTAGATTCCTGTGTAGTCTATCTTGTCAGCTTTCTATCTTTCTTTGTGAGTGTTCTTAGTTTCCACTCTTTATTGGGTATTTAAAGGCTTTCATAGTACATGACAGATTTGTACATAGGTCAGCAGGAATACACTCCAATTCACATGTAGAATCCTTCTAGAAGGGGACTCTAGGGGATCTAGAATCTTCCACCTGGCTGTTTCTAGTTTTATCTCATATGCTGAACCGTGTAAACTGGCATAGTTCCTGTGACTGGTCCACATAAAAGCATAGCCTTTGGGGCCAGTTACATTCAAGAGTACTTAAGGATTGTATATCATCGAATAGGATCCAAAGACATTCTCACATCTGCTTTCTTGGAACCTCTGCAGTTGATGGTTTCAGTAGACCAAAATAAAAATGTCCTAAACGTTTCTGCTAAAAGAAGATGTTTAAAGTGACTATTTTTTAAACTATGTTGTTAGAGCAACATTAGGGATAATCGAAGTATTTCACAGGACAATCTATCTCAAAGGGATTCCTCAGGATGGAGCCTGAAATTTTTCTGAACCTGAATAGAACCACCACTGTTTTAAGCTTTGGCATTATAGACATGCAGAGAGTCAAATACTCTCTAGACATGTTCTGCCACTGCCTCCAAACCTGACCTGGATCAATTTTTGACTAAACATAGCCTTATTACATTATGACCAAAGTTTGGGGAGAAAAATTACTGGCCAAGGATTAGGGGCATCAGAACAGCCCCAAAGTGAATGAATGATAAGTCTCCAGCTCTAGCCTTGGATTTTGGTGTCTAAATGTTGTCTCCAAAGAAGAAAAAGTGCTGGATTTGGAGTCGGAGAACCCATATTTAGATCGTGACTGTGCCATTTAACTACTTGTATCACCTCAGGTAAATCATTTCCCATTACTGGGCTTCAGTTCCTCATGCATAAAATGAGAGCATTTGGGCTAGGAACCTGCGAGGGCTTTACATATCTAAACCTGTGTTCCTATAAAATGTTCAAATATAACAATCTGACACTTTGTTCATTTCAAAATGTATGGAGTATTGAGTCTCTGGTAGCATAAATTTCTGTTACTTAATACCTGTCTAATGTTGGACTGAGAGACAATCTCTTTGGCCTAAATTGCCACATGTACAAAAGGGATGGTTGTGCCAGGTCCTTTCAGCACTTAATCCTGTGATGAATCCTACAGTCTTCTAAACTCTATGTCCTGTGACTAAGAGACCACGTTGTATTTTGTGCAAATTTCTCTCTGAGGTCTCAGAATAGTGCACTAATCAACAGATTATTGGATTCAAAGTCTTCTAAGATGTTGATGAAAGGGTAGCAAGTGGGAAGACCCAGGTTATACCACAAAGAAGGAAAAAGAATGCAGGGGGTGGTATGGTAAGTGGAACTGTTCTTTGTTACAATATCACTTCTTTAAAATGTGTGCGTTTTTTGGTTAATCACCATAAAGTAAAAGGTAACATTAGAACTAGAGGCTAAAAAAATGGTCAATTTTATTAAACTTCACACACGTAAACAAGAGTAAACAAGTGATCATTACAAAAGTTATTATATTACTTCAAACCAGTGCTGAAAGCTGATAGGCACACAGAGAGTACAATGTCAAACCTCAAGTCCAGCCTATCCACATTGTAGGAAGTACTTTAGGGAAACTGACATGACCCCAGTTCCATTGGAGCCTGGCAAGAGGCATTGTGCTGACAGATAGTTTCATGATATACTGTAGCACAGTAAGACACAAAACAGATGAATGTAAACATCTCTTTGCACACGGTTTATTTCTGTGTTTCATCCAGGTCTGCAATTAGATTGTGGCGCGCTGAGCAACTGGAAGACAAACAATAATAACCAAAGTTAGTTTAAATGGCTCGTGTTCCGTTAATTGCCTTGTGACTCTAACTTCCTGGTGTAATCACCTCTTCCTGTGGCTAAATTATCAGAAAGTAAGTTTCAGAGGTTAAAAGTGTGGAAATTGTATATAAACAAATGCTATCTGAAAGGTTTGTCTTTCCTCTTGACCTTGCTCTGTCTACAGATCAAAGACATCACTCCATCTAAGTACAAACTAAACTATTTTTAATGCTCCAAACCTGAAAAACAACCTGTGTTCTGCAAGTGTTTGTGTACCACATAAATCAGCATGGTCTGGCACTGAGACCAGGCCAGACCTCGGCTGCTTCCCCTTTCCAGGAATAAAGACTCTGGTTGGTTTGTGCTAGACCCTGTTTACTGAAAACTATTCAGACAGTACAGAGGGCGGTTAACTGGAGAAAAACAGGACATGGGGGGTGCAGCTAATCACTGGCTGAGTGATTGAGCCTTTTGTAACTTTAAAGCTGGGTCTGTGGGCATTTTCATTGACTGTGATAAAAGTGATTCACATGGAAACCTTTCCTGTGTCCTGAGAGAGAGAGTTTGTGTGTGTTGTACCTTTATCATCAAACTGTACTGGGCAATTCCTTTATATAGGCTTAAATTAGCAAGATCCATTTCAAAAGATTTTTTTAACCGCACTGAAAACAAGCTTAGAAGGTTCCATTGAAAGGGTTTAATGTTTGACTTTCTTTGCTGGTATGGGATGACTCTGAAAATATATATATATATATATATATATACACACACACACAATACTCTCAAATGTGCAATGTCCTAGGTTAGGACTATACAGGACCATTGACAAATACTAGTTCATCAATTCATTCAAAAAACATTCATTGAACATTTATTAGGTGAAAACCACCTTGGGGGAAACAAAAGATAAATAAAACAGTCCCAACGCTCAAAATTCTTAGTAGTGTTTCTTAAAAAAAAAAAATGCCCAGCAAGGGAAAAGGGTTAAGACGTCAGTGCTAAAGCATTGCAGTGCAGCTGGGATTGGCTGTGCTCCACAGTTAAATTGGGAATAAATCATTTGCAATGAAAGACGGGCTGCATCTCCCTGCATGAGCAGGATTTTATATACTGGATCAAGTCAACATCACAGATGTAGAACCAATGCCATTTTATTTATTAAGCAATGCTCACTTACTGGGAGTTTCCAAAAACAAGCAAGCAGTTAAAGATTCAGAATTTAGATCTTGATATTTGTGAACCAAAGATTTTAACAATCACCTTACTAGGGATATCCCTGTATGCTTTTAAAAAAAAAAAGATGAGATGCTCATTTTCATTTGGGGGGAAGGGGACAAATTCTGCAGCCTAAGTACATATTTGTTGTGTTAATTGTTATTTTATGTGTTGAAATTTTAAGACAATACATTAAGGACCTATTATATGAGAGACATTCTTCTGGGTAATGGGGATACAAAGGCAGGGATAATAATGATTGATTCTGTTCTCAAGGAGTTTAAAATCTTATAGAAGAAAGGATATATAGACAAACTATGATATAAGAGAATGCGATAAGGACAAAGGAAAGGTCCAGGCAAAGTGCTGTGAGAAATTTGAGGGAAAAGAGATCACTTTCAGCTGAAGGGTGTGTGAGCATGGGCTACAGTCATATCCGTTTGCTAGATGACTAAAGGAAAAGATATGTCTGTCTCTATTCTCTTCTTATGGTGGACAAGTCTGACTGGCTCTGACTGGGATCTGGACCTCCATCCCTTCTGGCCACACTTGATGCCTTGGACCTGCTCTGATCTAAAGCTGAGCCTAGAAACAAGCAAAGACCTGGCTCTGCAGCCTTTTCTTCATCTTTCTCTGTTAGGAAAATTCACAAGGATGTACATCCAGGTAAGCTCAGCTGGGCCCAGGAGATAAAAACCAGTTGCAATGTTCTTTCCAGGAATAATTATGTGTCTTTTATTTCTAGAATTACTGTTAAGAACTTTATTTTTGTTGTTATTGTTCAGTAGAAGTCATCATTGGTAGGTTTGTATGCTCTTGACCTAATGATTCCCCTAATGGTTTGTGTGCTTGGTAGCTCAAGTTAGACCAGATTAGTATGCTCAATACTAATGAGATAAAAATACCTCTATAGGAATCTGATGTGAAGCCCATTAAATATCTATTTGGAGCAAAAAAAAGAGAAAAGGTGTCCCCAGTAGTGAAAGCCAGAAAAGGGTTCCCTCACTCAGGTGATTTCTTGGTTTTCTCTTTTCTTCCCAGCAAAGGAAAGGCTTGTGAGTGCAGCAAAGCCCTCACTAGTGCCAACCCCCTATTTGCATCCTTACAGCCATTTCTTGGTTCTGTTGTATGTGGGGGGTGGGGTGGTGACTGAATATTTTACTTGTACCCAAGCTGCCCCGCTCAATCTACAAGTATTCTACTACAACTCAAAGTGCAGAAATTAAAATTTTCCTTCCTTTCTTATGGCAAACACAAATTGCATGAGCTGAAGCCAGTTTGGTTGTAACATATGCACACCTCACACCTCTGTCTTTCCATAGAGCTCCCTGACATGAAAGCTTCAAATGAAGTGATCCCATGGTTTAGTTTTGGACTATGTACTTTTTTTTCCTGGTAAAATGACTAGGTTGGTTGACAATGAGGTAATTGTTGGACCAGGAAAACAAGTCCTGGATAAATTTCCAGTATTACAACCCTCTTAAAGAGACAAACAGATTAGGGAAGACGTTTCACTAGGAAACAGTGCTGACTCAGCATATCAAATAGCATGGTTTTTGTTTTCTATTAAGTAAAAAGCACTAAAATGACCTAAAGTAAAAAGAAGCAAGCATTCTCCAAAATAAGTCTTCCTATTACCTGACTCCAAGAGGGCTCTAGTAATTTATCATAATCTTCCCTGTTCCCTGCCAGCATTCAGACTACTCCACTGTAACTGATGATCTTC